TGTGGAATTTATTGCCGCGGGCATTATCAGCGAGATGAGCTCGGGGTTTGTGATCGATAAATATTTTTATGGTGGAGAGGTTTTATTCTCAAGCGTGGATTAAAGGAGATCTGGTTGGACTTTAGAATGTGTAAGTAGTGTTGATATGTATTTCAACAGTTTATCAATACGCTTGAAAGCGTTATGTGTAGGTACAACCCAGCAAGAGAAATACCATCCTATAAAAATGTGTATTTTGTGATGTGCTGTCAACTGTGGTGTATGTAGGTAAATCACATTTATGTAGTAACATAGTATGTTGTAGTATCTCACTTCATACTACACAGCTGTAGGCCCAGAGAGTCGCGACAGGAATCACAAACAACCGACACAAATAGTTCATTTCCCGCTTTTCCCGTCCCCGGATTTCATCACGTCATCTTGATTGTACAAAACCAAGTAAATTGCAGCGACTTATCTGACACAATATTTAAGATTAATTCATAAATTGACGACCCTAAAAACCTGTGCTCATCTTCGAACATAATATCTACGAGTAATATACTCGTAGTAAGAAAGGTACCTAGTACCTAAATAGATTAATGACATCAACTTGGAACGTTCCTATATCTATTTTAATAATTTTGAAACGCATGTAATAATGTTGTGTTGTGCGGTGTAGCGGTGCATCTACTGTATTTCTAGATGTACTACTATTACGCGAATAAAGAAATAAATACGACTGTTTGCGATGCCACCTAAATCACAAAGCTCGGTTCTCACGCAGCTTCTATAAAATTGGCTTAAGAGCGTCATCTTTATGGCAAAGATTGCGTGGCAGAAATATTAAACTTCCGCAAGGAATAAGATGTAGCGTGAACCGTGCCGTGTCCCGGGGGAAATGAAATTGCAAAATATGTCCGGAATGGAGCGGACGCGTTGGCTACACCCTGACGTCCGTCTGCTTTGTAAGGACCAGGGCATTTTGAGGAGGCAAGCGAGAACTGTCCATCACAAATCTAAATATATGTATACCTATAACTCAAAGGCGACTGACTGTCTGACATAGTGATCTATCAACGCACAGCCCAAACCACTGGACGGATCGGGCTGAAATTTGGCATGCACGTAGATGTTATGATGTAGGCATCCGCTAAGAAAGGATTTTACGAAACTCCACCCCTAAGAGGGTAAAACGGGATCCACGCGTACGAAGTCGCGGGCGGCCGCTAGTAATTAGATAAACTACATGGAAAAAAGCAGGTGCGTAGTGATTTTGGAACTGCAATAAACTGTCACGTATAGGTTAGCAACTTTGTACCCAGTCACCCCTACCCGACTATGTAATAAAACGTATTCTTCTACTTCGATTTCAGATTAAGATTTATTTTTAATAAAGTAGGTACAGATAAAACATCAAGCTAAACACTGAAATTTTAATGTTATTTTAACACTTGATGTACGAGTAAGTAGCTACTATCTCTGAAATATAAAACCAGTCATCCAGTTTAAGAAAATACACAGTTGAAAATAGTACATAGTTAGACTACCCCTACCAGAAAAGTTAAACAAACAAGACACAGAAAGTAATAACAAACTAATATAGAATTAGAAACTACCTAAAATCTTTCACTTAAAACTTTCTTGCTATGAAGTAAACGCTCCCATTATAGCATCCGCTATAACCTTTACAGTGTCATCAGCCTTAAATCTGTACACGGCGATAGCTCACCGTTAGCATTCCCAGTGATGTTATTGTGCAGTTTTTAAATTGGTTTTCACGAAGTGTGAAAAAGCTCAACTTTAGTGCTCAAGGAAAAGTCGTTATGAACTTCTTTGCCTTATCTTTAAAAGATATCATGAAACTGCTTGGAAGTTTAAGCTACTGTACCTACCTATCATTTACAGAAACGAAAGAATAATCAACATACATACTTATTGTAAATTACAATTTAAAAAAGATGTTTGTAAGTTAATTGCGTTTTAAAAATGACTATTGAAATTGTAAATCTCGAATGCATTTCTTCATAACATACAGCTACGAGTAGAACGCTACGAGCTACGGCTCGTAGCGTCGTAGCATCATGGTAGGTTCGTAGTTCGTAGAATCCGTAAGAGCTCAAATATTTACCTTATTGCACTTAGTTTATTTTATATTATTTTGAAATGATTAATGAATGTTGAATGTAAAATTCTTTGAATATAAACGAATTAGTTAATTAACGTCAATAACAAAATAGGTAACTTCTCTGCATACACATAATATTCATCTTAAAATTAGTGTTATATTCAGCAGTCAGAAAAAGTGTTGGTATTCAAGCAAACATTTCAATAACGATGGAGTCAGAATATCATCGTCCGTATATTTCATTAGTGCGGCACTCGTGCTCGATACATCGACAAACGCACGTATCGTATATTTTTTCACGTGATCTCAATAGTGACGCGCGCCGGCTCACGTACGGAATTTATTGGCCCTCTAATAAAACAGAACACATTTTCTGCATTCTGCCGTGACGTCCCCGACCTCCCCTAGGGCGAGGGGCTTATTATGGAAACTATTCGATGTATTATCGTCTATTTTTGTTGACGTTCATATTTCTGGAAGTTAAATATTATATTGAATCTAAAGGTCTTCTGGCTCATTCACTCTGGCGGTTGTCACGTAGAAAGTAATTTCAGGTAGGTACTGTCGGGTGACTTCTATGATAACTAGGTGATATTTTGTAACACAGTTGTATTACGTCCATTGTTGCTAGTGTGCGTATTGTGTAATATGCCGTATGCCGTAGCGACGACCGTAAGTTGCAAGAATTTCTTTCTATAAATATGAAGACAGCTTGGCATGTGTCAGTCTTTTAAAAGGAACTAAGTATACGCTGAATTATTTCTGATTTCTTTTACATCTAACATTGAACCCGCTTTTATTCGCTTTACCTATTTACGCACGTGTACAACTGTTTATCTTAGTTTCTGTTATTGTTGCCCGTTAAATAAATCGTAAAAATCATAGACATTATAGAAATAGCGGGTCCAGCCTGGATGCAAAGGGCCCAAGACTTATTGTGGGCTACTTTGGACGGCTGAGGCTTAACCCGCAGAAAGAATTAAAAGACTTTCTTGCAAGAAATGAAAGGTTTTTTATTTTATTTTGTAAATAATCGAACGTTTTAAGGATAGATCCCCAGCAGGAGATACGAGTACGTGCAGTAATCACGGGTGCGAGGTGTTTGCTCGCACACAATCATGCCCGCTCCGATCAGGCGTTTAGGGCCGGATTACGGGCGCTCTATACCCCGCATATGGTGAAAGGACAAGTCACAGCTTTTTATTACTGACGAGGATCCGATGTGTCCATTTGAGGTAACCTTGCGAAAGCGAACTTGAGAGAACTAACTTAGTTTGGCTCACGAGTCACGTAATCGCTGAAGGTTTTTTTTAACTAAAGTTAAACAAAACAAGTAAGTACCTAAGGACTAGGTAATTTAGGGTCGAAGTGGGGATCCTACTTCTAGTAACAACGCAACGTAATTGCAATATTGTTATACGCCAATTCCTAGTATCCTTAAAAGAATTATTGCTCTAGGCCGTTATTATCTTGTATAAATAACTATAAATATATGTTAGGGGCAAGTTTCACACGGTACTTACATAAATGTACTAAAAATCACAGCTGCAACTAAAAATAAAAATAAATAACTGTCCTTTAAATTGTTATATGCCACAAATACACATTTGCGAATTTACTCTTGTAAAATGGCGTGAACAAATTGAGCATAAAAGTGTTACTGTCGTATTACGGAGAGTAATCTTTCATCAGGCACACGCACAGCGCCCGCATAATGGAATTATGGTTTTGTTGTAACATCCATGCGAAGTGTGTTTATTTTTCATCGTTATTTTCATAGTCTATGGCCACGGTACAAACGAAAAATTGTATGCAACTAGGCTTTATATCACCTATTAGTAGGGAATTTAGTGCAAGAACCCCTCCACTTTGGTATAGAAGGCTCATTTTTGCAACAGTGTTTCTTTGGGTGCTCCTGAGTGGATTTCCGTCGGTAGACATCGGGAGCCCCCCCTGTGGTAGCAGGGGGAGGGGGGGCAAGATACCTTCCGCCGCGCTTCACTTTAAGGCCCATATCTTCAAAACTATGGGTATTACGGCAAGTGTGGTATCATTTTCGGATAATTAAAGGATGGCGAATTCATTTCTAGAACAAACTTTTTGCCTTTTCATACAAAAAAATTGAAATATTGAGTAAAATTCACAAAAATCAAAAAGTATTTTTTTAAATAAACGTCGTTTACTTTTAAACCACTGGAGATAATCTAATAAAAAAAATATGACCTGAAAGCTACATTTATCAGGATTATAAAAATATAACATTGTGTGGTACTTTTTTCGCAAAAAGTAGGTGAAAAAAATTTTTTCTTCAGGACACAGCGTGCGAATTTTATTGCGCATCGGAAAAAAATATTTATTTTATCCATGAATTCATACTATTTGGTTCATAAGCAAGCAAAAATTATTATTTTAGAATTTATTTAGAGTTGCTGGCACATCAATCTACCATGATTTGTATTTTTTCGTCAATTGATTTTGAACTCTATGTGTGAGACATAAGGTTGAAAATAATTTAAATACATTTTAATATTGAAAATATCATAAGAAGAAAGCACTAAATAAAGAACTTTAATTTGTCTAAACGTCTTAATGATTATTATTATTTTAATTAACACTTTTATTTGTACATACTATTGTACCAGTGATTTAACGGAAAGGTAAGTGTGAGGAAAATGAGGTTTCACAATCATAGTACGGGAGATATTTTTAGCACAAAGGTTACGGCTGTGACCTTTTTAGTTGTTTTTTTTCAGACAGCACCAGCTTCTGCACTACTTCTTGCACTTACATCTCACCATTTCCAGGCAAGCCTCGGCAGCTACGGGCAAACCGGTCCATGTAGGCTCCATCTTGCTATCGACTCTGGTCCACCCCCAACCAGTCGGGTAAAGGGAAGACTCGAGTCGGTTGCTTGCACCTGATCCTATACGCGAATCCCTTGATATACTGCCAGTAGCCAAGGCTGATACAAAGCTGCTGCTGCTGTCTGGGTTATCTTATGTAGGGCCTAAGCTAAGCTAGGTCTAAGCGTAGTCCACAGCGACCCATTAGGATCTTTATGCTCCATTTTTTTATTCCCTATCATCCAAAAAAATCCTATCCATTAGGTGAATTAAGCGTCTGAGTGAAAGCCTTCTAAGTCTTCTGATGCCGGATATGCTGACCCAAGCAGACCCATCCTTACAGTATTGATTCATGGACCCCACATGTATTCCACATGCTCGAGAGCTGTCTTCTGTTGTTAGGCCCATTTTGTGGGACATGTGGTTCGTTCCATAATGCCCAGTTTGCGTACCAGTAATTGCTTGGAATTAGGTAACTTTTATTTCCGCTTAATGAGTTTTCTCCATGACCCTGTGTTTCCCTTTAGGAATGATTTGGAGATGCTTATCTTATATCGTTGGAGCTTTCCCATTCAGCACTGTGCTTCTTGGATATGGCCATTTTATGGCCATAAGGTATGCCGTTAGATTATAAAGGTAAGTATCAGTTCTGACCCAATAGGTATCGCCTCTGACTCTAGTTTCGCTAGACTGTCGGCTCTCCCATTGCATTTGATCCGTGAATGTCCAGGTATCCCACATCAGGGACACTTTCATGCCTTCCGAGTTTGTACATCTTTACGATTGCATCAAGAATAATTCTAGACTCAACCTTCACTGAGGCGATGGCTTTTTGTTTGAGTGCTGCCTGGCTGTGGATCAGGATGTATATTGCGTTTTTTAAACCCCTGTTCTTTAGTGCACACATATTATTGCGTAGAATTCAGCTTGAAACACTGTAGCAAACCTCCTTAAGCGTTCACTATGTTCGAAGTGTTTACAGTAGACGCCCGTTCCCGTTCCCAAGGCCATCTTTGCAGTGGCGGCGTAAGTCCTAAGGCACCCCCTGGTAACCCCACGATTTTGGGGTTACCTACCGATTCCAAGATTGAAGACATTAGGCTGTTCTGTTGGGATTTTGGTGAGCCGATAGCAAGATGGAGCCTACATGGACCGATTTGCCCGTAGCTGCCGAGGCTTGCCTGGAAATGGTGAGATGTAAGTGCAAGAAGTAGTTAGGTATCGCCTCTGACCCTAGTTTCGCTAGACTGTCGGCTCTCCCATTGCATTTGATCCGTGTATGTCCAGGTATCCCACATCAGGGACACTTTCATGCCTTCCGAGTTTGTTCATCTTTAAGATTGCATCTAGAATAATTCTAGACTCAACCTTCACTGAGGCGATGGCTTTTTGTTTGAGTGCTGCCTGGCTGTGGATCAGGATGTAAATATTGCGTTTTTTACACCCCTGTTCTTTAGTGCACACATATTATAGCGTAGAATTCAGCTTGAAACACTGTAGCAAACCTCCTTAAGCGTTCACTATGTTCGAAGTGTTTACAGTAGACGCCCGTTCCCGTTCTCAAGGCCATCTTTACGGTGGCGGCGTAAGTCCTAAGGCACCCCCTGGTAACCCCCACGATTTTGGAGTTACCTACCGATTCCAAGATTGAAAGACAATGACATAGACCGCAGACTTGCTATGCAGATGCGCCAGTGATTACTTATCTGTGCGACATGTGTCACCCTCTGATGCTTGGATGATTTTGGTCCTCTTTTCTAGTCGTCCCTTGTTCAAGATCTATCCACTTACTTATTAGATCAATCCAAGGGGTTCGCGTATAAGATTAGTTGCAAGCAACGACTCAGTCTTCCCTTTACCCGACTGGTTTTGGGGTGGACCAGAGCCGATAGCAAGATGGAGCCTACACGGACCGGTTTGCCCGTAGCTGCCGAGGCTTGCCTGGAAATGGTAAGATGTAAGTGCAAGAAGTAGTGCAGAAGCTGGTGCTGTCTGAAAAAAAACAACTAAAAAGGTCACAGCCGTAACCTTTGTGCTAAAAATATCTCCCGTACTATGATTGTGAAACCTCATTTTCCTCACACTTACCTTTCCGTTAAATCACTGGTACAATAGTATGTACAAATAAAAGTGTTAATTAAAATAATAATAATCATTAAGACGTTTAGACAAATTAAAGTTCTTTATTTAGTGCTTTCTTCTTATGATATTTTCAATATTAAAATGTATTTAAATTATTTTCAACCTTATGTCTCACACATAGAGTTCAAAATCAATTGACGAAAAAATACAAATCATGGTAGATTGATGTGCCAGCAACTCTAAATAAATTCTAAAATAATAATTTTTGCTTGATTATGAACCAAATAGTATGAATTCATGGATAAAATAAATATTTTTTTCCGATGCGCAATAAAATTCGCCCGCTGTGTCCTGAAGAAAAAATTTTTTTCACCTACTTTTTGCGAAAAAAGTACCATACAATGTTATATTTTTATAATCCTGATAAATGTAGCTTTCAGGTCATATTTTTTTATTAGATTATCTCCAGTGGTTTAAAAGTAAACGACGTTTATTTAAAAAAATACTTTTTGATTTTTGTGAATTTTACTCAATATTTCAATTTTTTTGTATGAAAAGGCAAAAAGTTTGTTCTAGAAATGAATTCGCCATCCTTTAATTATCCGAAAATGATACCACACTTGCCGTAATACCCATAGTTTTGAAGATATGGGCCTTAAAGTGAAGCGCGGCGGAAGGTATCTTGCCCCCCCTCCCCCTGCTACCACATGGGGGGCTCCCGATGTCTACCGACGGAAATCCACTCAGGAGCACCCAAAGAAACACTGTTGCAAAAATGAGCCTTCTATACCAAAGTGGAGGGGTCTCCATACAAATCATTGCACTAAATTCCCTACTATATTTGAACATCCATCAGATGAGATACAGGCAACATAAAGACGCTTCTCGTTGTGGTTAAAAAATGAATACGTCATTTTGAGAAAAACCCGGAAGTTCCAAGATTTGAATTAGGTAAATGTCTACCCGAGATAAGTACGTTTGAAGTCAATCCTCACCCCTTAATGACGGAGTACCATTATAATGTGTAATAAAAATGGTCATGAAATAAAAATATAAAAAAACGGTTATATTCGCTATCTTTATGTGAATTTCATAGACATCCTTGCGCCACTCAGGCGCCGGAATGAGTATTTTAGTGTTTTGTTAATTAAAACTTATCGCGGAATGAGTGCATCCGAAGAGTTGTAATAAAAGTGAAAATTCTCAAGAGCTAGGTCTCAGGTAGTTCTCTGAAGGTTTCGCTTTGTCGAGCGCTAACTTCTAGTTGCAAACAACAAACTACAACACTCTGATCCAGGTAAGCTTACGTTGAAGCTAATAAGAACTAAATAATAGGGGATTCTAACTCTTATGGAGATTGAATGCAAATTGATTCTGGGATTGAAAAAGTTTGGTCTTCGTAACGCTCCTAGATCACTTTGTTTTAATTCAAAATGTAGTTGGCCGTCGCGTCGATAAGGAACTACTTAGTTTTGCAAGCAATAAGGATCTCAGGAAATATCTATTACCTGAGTAATGAGTATTACACTTATCTGTAGGTACTTAATGAGTTTTACCACAGAATAATAATAAGTACTGTTTTACACGACCTTTAAACATATGATTGTAATAGCAATTTCAAATCTAGATCCATTGCAACTTCGAAACCTGTTTTTCCTGAATAACCTAGATAAACGAATCTTATGAGATGATTTTGTGATTTTGCGTAGCGAACTCCGCCGAGTGCAATTTTTAACTCTTTACATTTACCTTATCTTCCTTTGTTCTTTTACAGAACGCTCTGGAATAGTTGTTTGTGAGTATCTTATGGTATTTCTTATCAAAAGGATGTAATATTTATCTTAATAAAAAAACTTCAATAATATTGAGATTTGATCGTGAAAAAAGTAATAATTAATTATGTTTACAGGCAGCAGCGTTATTTTTGCAGCTTTAAAATTAAATTGATTCACAATATAGGTATGCTAGCAAGTTAAGGATCAAGTTCGTCTGCGAATGTTAAGATATCAAAGTCAAGTAGGCAAGAATCCTCATCAATCACCCATCCAAATCCGACTGTACACTTGCGGCGTGCTCATAATCTACTCCATTTTCATAGTAACATTAAATTTCTATCCCATGTTGCGGCGCAAATCGCTTATTTTCACCCGTTCGCTACGCTTACGTTTGATTTGATAAAGTAATACTGTATTTCGATTTACCTGTGAGGGGTGTAAAAATAGAAAACCTATCTAAAATCTCGCCACAATTTAACTCGTGAAGTGACAGGAAATTTGGTTTGGAGCGTTCGGCAAACAGTTTATCTCAATAAGTCATTTCAACTTCACTTTTGCGATTCCGCGAAGACGTTTTGGAAGAACGTGGATTTTTGGTGGAGTTTTTCATTTATTTTTTTCTTTGTTTACTTTTCTGTTGGAATGATAAGGGTTGCTTAGTTTTTTGTCACTTATTCACATCACTAGATAATTTATGTTGTCCCAGTATTATAAGGCAACAATATACAAAAATATTATGTTAATTCACAGCAATCACAGCACCAACTGAAAGTTTATTGATGTAATTATTACTCGAAGGGTATTTATTATCCAAATTAATTCAATTGTTGTTTTCCTGAAAATATTTGTGGAGTCTTTAAAAGCATTTCGCTATGTTTCCGAAACATTAGGAAGGTTGAGTTCATGAAATTGATTTCCATTTTTAGCATATCCTCCATCTTCAGAACTGAACATCCAAGACCAACATGCTGCTGAGCAAAGACAATCCAGGCAAGTTTTATTTGACTTGAGATCCGAATATTTTGCAATCACGTTAATGGTTTTTGCTTTATCATTCTTTCTCTGTCATTCACTTCGAGAAATGTTGAATTATTCAGATAAGAAAGAAGCGGGGAGTAATGTAATGGAAATGTCTCGAAGTTGCCCAAAAAATGTACGTAATAAAAGAGGAGTTTTTGTATGGCTATTAAAACATCCTTTGGGATACACGCGGGGACAGGCCGGCCTGATAGCTCTGTTGGCTGCACTCCAAACAGAACGAAATGTTTCTAAAATATTCCAAAAACGCCTGGCTACGATCGTTTTATGATTTTCTGCATCATTAAATTTATTTTCATTATTTTATTTGTCAGTTGTTTCCCTCAGTGGCTTCGCTATGGTGAATACTATGACTTACGAAAATAAGTTATTTGTTTCGCTTGCTTTTATTGACTACTAATTTACCACAGTATCAAACCAGTCGACTGCGAGTCGAATATTGAGGGTTCTATCCTTCGTTTTTTGATTTCTTGTCACTGTTCTGAAGTATGATTCAAAATCAAAAACTTGCGTATGAAATATAGATACTTTATTCCGTAGGGGCTTAAATACTATCCCCCTTACTAATAAAACTTACACACTCGTTGAACAGTGTTGTAAAGTGACGTTTAGTATGGAAATGTCATTTTAAAACATTGTTCAACAAATGTGTAACTTTTTATTAGTAAGGGGGTACGTATTTAGCTATTGGGAAGCATAGGTTTTGATTAAGTAAGAGAAGAGAGAGTTACACGATATAAACGAATTCTAAGAGCTCGGAGGGACCTAGAATAGAATTTCTTTTTGAATATATGATATTAATTTCAGCTTATTGCTACGCGTTTCTGAGAAAAAGGGTCTAGACAGACACATGTACAACGAAGTGATCCTATGGGCCTTTTATTCTTTTTGAGGCACGGAATTCTAAAAATGGCGGCTGTTGCCATCAAAGTATTAAAGTACAAGGGACCGACAAGGTAATGGAGGCATATTATATTCATATTGTAGCTAGTTTTGGTACGTTATTATATTCGTCTTCGAACAGCAGACGTAAGAAGACACAGAAGACACAAAAGAATTTACAAATTGCTTTAATACGCGCTAATGATCGTTGACTGTTGATGACACCTTAATAAAGCTTTTTAGGCGTCTAATAGGACTCTCCACCTCACACACATGAGTATTATACAGGCAGGTTGCATATATTTTCGTGCTGAGGTTCAACAAAGACGGCAAAATACGAATAAATTTATTCAGCGTCGCGAAATTGAAATTTCAGGTGGTCGCGGCTGTCCTGGTCCTGACCACTATTTTTTGCCCTCCCCTCCCTCCTGTATTTCTTTGGAAAAAGGGGAGTGAAAGAGTGTTACCCAATATCCTGAGGGGTCCACCCATTTTGGTCGGGGAAGCTCGTATTTGTATTCTGGAGCTAACCTTGCTCGAGCCACCGATCCGCCGTGATTTGGTAAAAATCCCGATGGTAAATTATTGTTTGAGGTGTTGGTACGGAATATGTGGAAGCGAGTTTTTAACTGCTCTGTGTATCTTTTTCATAAAATAGATACATACTTAGGTATATACTTTGTTTGTAAGTTCTTTGTTTATCTTCT